CACAGGTCAGGGAACAGCACAGTTTCAGATTTAGAAGGAGGGTAGAACAGGGAAATGGGAAAGCTTGCAGTTACTGCATCTGCTTTTGGCTGAATCAGTTGACTTGTGTTAGAACTGAACTTCTGTGTATTTCTTAATTTTTTTATGTGGGACTTCCATCTGTACAAATAATCTTGTGAAAGGCTCCTCCATCTCAAGGAATAGCCTTATTCTTTAGGGGTTTGGGATGGCTTTTTTTGGATCAGGTCTTGATTACCAATGGCTGGAGATGGGTTTACTTTATATATATATATGTTTTTATTGCACTAGTTCATTTCATCTGATGTGGTATATTAGTTCTGACAGATTCTGGTCTAAGGTGCTTCACATAAAAATGCAAAGCAATCTAGGGAACGGTTTTTGGAAAATATTGCCTCTATTGAACCGTCCCAGCTGAAGGTCTGAGACATCTGCGAGCCGGGAAACTTTATACCATATGTTTATTTTCATYCTAATGGAGAAACTATCATTTCTGGCCTCTCACATATTTAATCCTTCCAAATYCTGCAGTAATGGGCTGTGGTGAGCTGAGCTGATGAGTTGCACAGGCTAGACATGTTGTGGTATTGCCACTTTTTGGAAGCGTTGCTTTAGGTGTCGTATCTTATTCCATTGTTTCCTYACACCCCAAACTGAAGCTGCATGACTCAGATCACCCCTGCCCATMCATCTTTCCATCAGAGAAGGCACAAATCTTTCACAGATCTTTCCCCTCTGCTTTGCTGCTCAGTCTGAGGTGTTTTCACCTCTTCTGTCTTTCATGGAATCAGTCTTTAGCAGAGGTTACCAGCTGAAAACCAAATTTCATTRAAGTGCAGACAAATTCATGATGCTGTACAAGGGTCAGCATCACTCCAATCACGGCAGCTGATGGAACAGCATCTCCCAGGCTGTTTAGCCATGGCCAGCCACCTTACACTACCAGAACACCAGACCTCTTCCCTCTCCTTCCTGCATCACCCAAAATGCAGCTGACCATGCTCCCTGCTCACTCCAGACAGGCATTTCTTCTTGTGCAATTCACTTTTGGAGCAGCACAAACACCAGAGGAAGTAGTGAAATGTCTCTGTGTCATAAACCTTTGTGCTTTGTCAGTAGTAATTCAGTTTACTGAATTTACTAGTTTTAGCTTTGCCCTTAAGACAAATCTCTGCTTCTTCGTTACTTTTTATTTAAGTTTAGATAAGAAATGTGCCTAATCCTTAGCCATAATTAATGTTTCAGTTTCCAATCAGCATGTCTTGCAACTCTGCTACTTTGATCAAGGCATTGCTTTAGATCTGGAGTTTTATAACCACTTGTGCACTCTAAGTCAGATATTTATCTTCAGTGCTTTTGCAGACAGTCACTAATTTGTGCCAAGGTGCCCYATTGAATTTATTGCATCTTTTATGATTAAAGAATAACTCCTTGGTTGACTAGAAGGACTTGCTCAATCACTAATAAATTTCTTCAATGCCATCTGTTTTATTTAAAGATCATAAAATTTAAGGAAGCAAGAGACACAATTATTCCCTCTGTCAATCAATAGCTTGTAAACCGGCTGATTTACCATCATGCATGACAGATTTAACCAGTATCTGTTTCCTTCAGGCTCCATGGTAAATAAATCCAACAGAAGGACTGGGGGAGCAGACTCAGATATGCACCTTYGCTGAAAGAAAGGAAGCAGCAATTTGGCCCCTCTCCACAGATGAAGTRGCCAACTGGCCAGTTACCACTTTGTGTGAGTCTGAAAAAGCAATGTGCTTCATCAGTTCTGTCTGTCTGAAAGGGTCTGCTCTCTTTTTCCTCTGAGATCATAAACTTTCTTAATTTTTAATGTTTWTTCCAGACACCTTCCATCACATCCCATTTTGTCAAAAACTATTCTCCCTACCACAGGGAATGTACAGCTTCAGWTTTGTTCATGAGTGCACATGACCAAGCCACAGGAGAATATTTTTGTGCAGGCATAACCATGAGTTTTCTCTTCCCTTTTGAGCAGAACAGTATTTCCTCAGTGGTTGTCTGACATATTATTGCTATTTAATAGTTCAGCTGCCCTCCAATTCTTTTGCTTTTTTTCTATAGCACCTTTTTTTCTGGTTTTCCAAATTTCCAYTGGCTTTCCAGCTGATTAAGAGGGTTATCTCCAAAGATAAAGCCAACAGGACACACTAATAGCAGATGATAATCTGGCAAAAACACGTGAACTGCTACCATAGTCACTGTTTTTATGTCCTAAACACCGCTATCGTCATTTATTCTTTATTAGTGCCTACAGGAAAGGAAAACACTGACTCAGGCACCCAGGTTCTGTTCTGCTCTGCCCTGTTTTACTGGAGCAGCTTGTACAGAGCTGCACCATGTCAGCAGCACGAGAGAGCAGGAGAAGGAACACTGCAGGGAAAAAGCCCTTTATCCGAGTCCTGAGCCTCTCACCTTTTYAGTGCAAGGCTTTCCAGTCTCTCAGCTGGAAATAACAATCCCAGGAGGAAAAGCTCGAGGTGTTAGGAAACACAGGGCCATCTTCTGGAAAAATCTGGGTTTAGCTGCAGCAGAATTACACAAGACATCCAAGCCATGGGCCAAGTGCTCCARTCCAAACCTATAATTTAGGATGTGGAGCCGCTGTTTAGGAATCTTAGTCAGCTAAATACAGGAAGGAGAAAGTAGGTACATTCCTGGGCTCAGAGCCTCCTTCACCAGAGCTCGGCACTCACACACAGATTCTTATGCAAGTTTTTAGAAGCCCAGTTGCTTATTTCCATTTGCCTGTTTTCTGGACAAACTGGCAGAAGGGGTTGGCTGAAGATGTTAGGAGCAGAGCATAGAAAGTGTGTGTACTGAAGGCACTGCAGGAAGGCACAGGTTGAGTTTACAAAGCCAGAGGATATGAGCCACAGAAGGGTACATTCTCAGAATTGTTTAACCTTGTAAAAGAGAAGCTGTACTGTACACCTCTTTCTTGGAAAATGCAACCGCCAGCACATCCCTCTCTCTCTCGTACACAGCAAAATCTGGCTTTCATCCCCCGGAAGCGTCRGCAGCCGCCATCCAGGAAGCAAAACCCAGCAAAGAGTTCTCTGCAAAAGCAGGTAGAGCTGGGAATGGGGGCACAGGACACAGATGAGGGCCACRGGCTGCTCTGCAGGGTCAGAATTTTGCTTTGTGCTGTGCAGTGTGCTGCCTTGGAAGGTGGAGGACAGCAAATCTGGGTGTGGAGAGAAGATGGGGGGCTGGTGGCACTCGTGGCCTTGTGTCACACCCTGAATCAGGGTGGGAAAGGGGTGCCTTCCTCCTCTGACTTGATCCTCTSTCAGTGGCCTGAAGCGTGGGGTTCGTCCATACACAGAAATGATATTGCATAACCGCAGATTTAGCATTTCTAGAATTCCTGTGACACTGTTATTGTAGGATTTAGCCAAAGCTGTCTTCAGGAAACCCTTAWTGTTGTAGCTGGCAGAGGGTGCTGGAGTTATTTTTAACACTTGATTGCAGAAKCCTCAGTTTTAGGAACTCTGCAACTTCTCACTTGATGCAAAGGTGAACCTAAAGAGCTGCCATTCTTTTCTGCTGGCAGCTAAAGGATATTRAAGCAAACCTGAGTGCACACCTGGGTCCCACAGCACTGGTGGGATGGACTGGGAAGGTTTCCTGAAGAGCTGCAGGACCCAATAACCCCCTGGCTGGCCCTGGAAAGCRTGGATCTCTCTGTGAGGTGAGTGCTATCAAAATACCCTTCAGACAAGAAATACAATCACAGGGATGCTGAGTGAGGCACGAGTGGGAGATAAAGAGCCAGCTTGAGCAATAAAAGAGAAGAAGAGGCTGCCAGTAGCTCTGGAGCTCYGTTCCCTAGAGTTACAGGGGAGAGGTTTCTGGCGCCAGTTCGAGGACGTGTTTGCAAAGGCAAATGTAAAACTTGGGGAATTCCACCACCTAGTTAGCTGAACCAACAAGAGTTGGCTTTGAAGCYCTGGAGAGGCATTTTCTGCACAGTGCTTTCAAGTTTTGACAAATCTGGCCTCCTGGGTCAACCCAAGAGACAATCCAGATGTTAGCTTCCCACACGAGCTGCAAGAACACGCTCACGCTGTTTTTTTGGAGAACTGCGGGGAATCAGGGACACGTGGGAGTGCACAGCCATATTTAATGCATGGAGTCGGTCAGGGACATGTTAAAAATGGAGCTCTGCCTGGAAAGCTGGGCTCTGAATGTTCTCGCCAAAAAGTGTATCTTTTGGTTGTGGTAATCCCGATTACTCACACGGAGGGGGTTCAGTTTTTCCCCTCGTCGACAATGCCAGTGATTCCCTGTCTCATTGTCTGTAAAACAATCTTTTGTTCAGATAGGATGGCTTTCCCTGTGGCCCTTGAKCAAGTTTAAAAACTATCCAGCATATTTGGGAAGCCGCAGGAAAAATGAAGAACTAAAGAACCAATATTTTGATGTCAGTATTTGGTTCGGTGTTATTGCACTGGTGACATCTAACTTTGTCATTTTTGGAAAATGACAAAGCAGCCTGGAAATGTTTTCAAGCAGAGGTTGAGATGTCAGTGTGGGTTAGCAGTGCTGTGGTTTTCAGAAGAGGGGTTTTTGTTTAAGGCACGCTTGAGGGGTGGTGGACAGGGGAAGAAGTTGTTCTGAGCACAATCTGCTCCTTGGAGCAAACTAAAAAATCCATTTTCCAGGACCAGCAATTTGTGTTGGTGTTGCTCAGAAGTCCTCTCTCTGTTAATGAACTTTGTAGCTAGAAAGTCTTTCATTCACACTCTCTACAAGGCTGGGCCCATCCTCATTAGGAATTTCACCTGTTGACCACCCAATAAATGCAGCTTTTAATCTGCTACACATGATTAGACACTGATTGTGTTCACAATTGGAAACAGAAGCCACTAGCACAGAGTAGAGATCAGTAATACTCTCAATTTGTGTTCTATTAAACTTCAGGTTTCATGGAAAAGCAGAACCGCAGAGATTTCATCAGAGAAGGTACGCGGAGCATTTTGGAAGTTCCACAATGTCTTAGAGCCACGGGTTTTGTGCAAATCAAACTATTAAGAGCAAAGTTTGTGTCGCCAAGAAAGTTGCATGCAAGAATCTTTCCTCTGAGTTCACAGAGTGGTAAGTCATTTTATCAAATCCTACTTTAAAATCCGTCATCACTGATCAAAGCACAGCTCTTGCATGGAAGCTAGGAGTCTTTGAGTCAGCCACTTTTCAGACAGAAAAGCATCTACCTTTTCTAATTACCTGATTTTTCTAATTACATGACTTAGGTTTCCTTTCTTAATGAGATAAAGATGCAATCTTGCATTTATGCAAGCCAAAAATGTTYCATTGTTTAACACAAGATTACAGGGAGCTAGCAGGAGCTGAGGCATCAAGAGGTGRTTGCAGGCAGGGGAGGAAAGGTCAAGGCTAAACATGAAGGAGGCAGTGTTGAAGACAAAGAAATGGAGAAAGACTGCTCCAGTGGCAGAACAGAAAAGTTGTGTGGYTGAGGAGAAAAGGAGAATGCAAAATAAATCAGCTCTGCTTTTCAGAGSTAGTAAACATGCCACTAAACACACAAGGGAATTTTAAAATGTGCCATGCAACATGAAGTATTTAGCAAAAGCCATTGATGAGATCAGAACTTGTTCTGAGACCCTTTTGATTTGGTTTAACCTCCTCCTGTGTGCTCTCACCTCATTGTTAGAAGGAGTTTGAGCTCTTTCCTGTGTGAARCCACTCATTCCCTGGTGTGTTTTCCCTCTCTGTGGCAAACAGCAGGGGTGAATTAGGGCAGAACTAGAGCCCAATCACTGCAATTTCTTGAATCCTCACACGAGCTCCTGCCCAAGAGCCAAGCTGTCTGCTAAAAGCTGATGCCCACCACTGCACTTCCTCGAGGTATCTGGGACCAAAAACCAAGAAATCCTGCCTCTATTCACTCTTGCCAGGAACTGAGGAAAAAGGAATAAAATCTGAGTGATTAATTAATGAAAGCATCACTCAACAGCARGATACCAGCCTCTGAAAGCAAGGCATGCCATCTGCAGTCTGTGCAGGCAGGATCACCTCGGCACCGTCGAGCACGARTCTGACTGAGTCACAACTCGGCAAACGATCTGGCTGCAGATATTTGGTTTCAGGATAAATATTGYTCAGACTGAAGTCTAGGCTGAGAGGTTACTAACAGGCAGCAAGGAGCCCTCCAGGACACACAGTTGTCTTTCTGGGCTGCAGTCATGCATGTCCTTCCCTTCACCCCTGACTCAAGTGGACAAATCTCCACTCGGACGTACGGCTTTAGGATATCCTCAGAGACCGAGGGAACACGAGGTTACCCTCTGAAACATCTCAGAAATCCCAGCCCTGAGAGGCCACATGTTGCTCTGTGTCAGCCAGCCGTGGCTCTGCTGCTCCCTGAGGACAAGAAGGACGAGGTAATTCTGCAGCTTGAAAAGCAAACGAGACAGCCAGTGGTGGTTACCACAAGGGACTGTGAAGAGGAAAAATGTCCTGATACGACCCAATAACTTATAAAAAAAAAATTGTTCTGTTTGAGGAACTTTATAAATTTCTGAAGTTCAGGGCATAAATGAGAGGCTTTGTAACCAAACAGCCCAGCTGACTCTCCCAGCTCTGTTCAAACCAGGTTCCCAATATTTTACCTCTGAAAAAATAAATTTCCATAGCCTACAAGTAGGTTTGAAAAGATCACTTCATTAGAGAGCTAACTTCACACTGAACACTCACTGAGTTCAAACCCATATTCATGTGTGATCATTTACATTAAAAGGACYGAGATATTTTCTTTACMTATTTATTTTAATAGCATGTTGTGGGAAATAAGATAAGGCTGTAAGAAAACTTGGATGTTAGAACAGCTCCTGCTCGTCACTGCATCTCTCATTCACTTTCAAGAAAAAATCCAGAAGCCAAGTTTACCTCAGGAGGAAATTGTTGAGTCTGAGAGAAGGCGAAATTTATTGGTGAGAGATCAAGAAGTGGAAGCCTTTAAGCTCAACACTCTCTGCAGAGATGTCAAGTGTCGCTTCTCCCTGAAACTCTCAATACATGATTGACTTTGTAGCTTTGRGTCAGGCCAGGTGATTTTCTTTACAARTCACCTGAAATCATTGCTGCCTCSAGCCAGTTTCGTTTCAGAAGMCAACGGTGACCAGGAGGAAAATGGRSAGAATTAAATTGTRTKTTAATTCYTYCCTTGCTGCAGCTCAGAGATCCAGATCCCGTCATGGGGCAGATAATTTTTTACCTCTTTTAACTTCACTGTAGCCTGTGGCAGCTCCAAAGGCAGGCAGCCTGCAGCAGGGGTGCAGCCAGTACCGCTAAGAATGATTGGAATCGTTTGTGCATGCACATCCCTGCGCGAGGAACTTTTTGGCATAAATGATCCTATGAGAGCGTTGGAGGCTGCTAGACCTGTACAACGAAAAGTTATTCTGTTCAGCTTCTAGCTTGGGTGTAAAAAGCAATTCAGGATGCCAAAACAGTGTTTTTACTTATCCAAACCAGATTTTTTTTCAACTTGGTCACTCAGAGTGGATCTGGGAGCCCTGGATGAACTTTTCCTCTCCCTGCTTCAAACCAGCAATTTCTTCTTCAACAAAACCCAGACTGTCTGGGCACTCACAAGGGTTACTTTGTGGTAGTTAGAGATTTGGGGAAATGGGTCTCTCTTCCTCCTGGCTGGGTGCCATACCAAGTTCTTCAGCATCCAGGGCTGTGGGGCTGGTGGGCAGCGAGCTTTCTCATGGGGAGGGTGCTCCTTCTGCTCCAGCCTGTGCGTGTTTCTTCTTGCCTCTCTCCAGCTACCACATACCCCATGATCACGTTATTTCCCTGAGCTTTGTGATATGAATTTAATCCCCAGAGGCTGACAGGAGGGCTGAATCTGGTTTCCCACCGCCCATGTGGATTCCCTTAGCAGCAGGCTATTCAAGGAAAGGCAACTGCTACCTCCGAGTGCTTTAATAATTCTTTGATTCCTCAGCTTGTACTGCCAGTGCCCAAAATGAAACGCTTTGCCATTTGTTTTGCCTGAAACCATTCCACAAAACTGCTTCCAATTTATGAATGGATTTGGCTACCTCAGGACCTCATTTTTAGCTAAGTTGCTACTTGCCAAAAGCCYTCACCCGGCGCTATTCTGGAGCGCTTTGCCCAATCTTATGTTTCAGAAGCAGCGCCTGTGTACAGTTGCGGTTGCTACAACCTTCCCTCCAAGCCCTGTCCTCCCTCAGTCAAAACAGGAAGGCAGGAGAGGAGCTGTGGCCAAGGCCCCTTGACCTTCCAGGGAAGCAGAGAGTATTTATGTGGAGCCACCGGACTGATGATCTGAGCGGTGTTGACAGGGATGAGTTATAAAGTGAAGCGGCCATAAGCGCGGTTTTTACGAGGCATAGGATTTCCAGGATTTAGGAGCGTTTTTAGCACCTTTCTCCTCTAAGACTGCCCATCCCCACAGCTCATCTGCTTCCAGATGGGTCCCGGTGCCACTTAATGGGCTGTGCTGGGAGCTCAGAATCCATGCTGGGAGGTGGTGGGAGCCTGGCATGGATTGATTTGGTTCTGCCGTAGCGCAGGGTGATGCCAGCAGCTCATCGAGGGGCCTGTCCTCCTCTGCCACCCTCCCCTGTGGGGCTGCCCTCTCCCTCTCCCCCCTCCACCATCTATTTAATGCCCTGGAGAATTGGGTCAACGGCCTGGGGGCCCTCAGGGAGGGAGAGCTGGACACGGAGCATCTGCCGGAGCCTTGGCAGAGCCGCTCCTGCACACGCGGGGCTTTGCCAGAAGGATCCACCGAGCCAAACAGAGGTAGAATTTGGCCTCAAATTTTAAAGCTGTTTGGAGTGCGTTGGTAGTCCTGATTCACAGTTCCCGCTGTGGTTCCCACCCAAGCCCATGAGGAGAAGGAATATTTGGGGAAGGGAAGAGAGTCAGTGGCTGAGATTTCCAATTTTTCACTCGAGCCTGTCCTTGCTAAGGTAAACAGCCTAATTTTTTATGTAGGCAAGAATCTAATAAAACTCATCCATTTCCTTCYTTGTGTGAAGGAGAATGCAAAACCAACTTAAACACACTGAAGTCTGCCTGCAAAAGAAAATTAAGCTTAATAGTTACACAATTATTGGATTTCTTTMTTTAAAAAACAAGGATTGGAAACAATTGAAGCTGTAAAAAAAATTTATGTGCTTCGCTTGATAAATAACCCAAATTTATGACTAATTCTATGAGCCAGTGAAGACTCCTTTCTTCCTGTTAGCAGATGAGCTGATAGCCAATGCATTCATTGTGCTTTCTTGCTGTGGCAGGAGAGAAAAGCAAAAAGAAACCCCCAACGTTGCACTTTTCAGTCTCAAAGAATTAGCTGAATTGTCATCCTGACTTCTATGCAGTCAAAAGAAAAACTCCCTTACATCTAGGGGCAAAGAGCACTCAACTAAAACGAGTCTGATTATCAAACAGAACTTTTGCACAGTGGTCCAGCTCTGCTCCAGCTGAGTGATGCGCTACACTGAGTCAGTAAATTCATACAGGGGGCTGACTTGCTGTCAAAAGATGCATTTTTCGTTGGGTGTTTCACAACCAGAGAAGCATGACTTATCTCCCAAAGTCGTCTTTGGGAGAACAATTAAGTGATTTAAGATGAGCAAGGCAAGCTGCTGACACATTTCAGTTTTGAAGGCGCTGCTGTTCAGTTTATGCAGACAAAGCCTGAAACGTGAAAGCTGGCCTCCTGCCTTTGTTTTCTTGTAACCGACTGCCGGAGAGGCAGATTTCCCTGCTCCGTGGCTAACTAGATCTGCCTGGTTTGCTTTACCAGCGAGCACATTCCTGCACTTCAGGAAGAACACTCCGGGCTCATTACGAGCTACTGGGCTGATACTGGCACGATACTGAGAAAACAGATTTGTTTTGGACAAGCTGCTCTGACATGGAGGTGCCAGGGTGAACGACCTCTGGGGGAAAAAAAAAAAAAAAAAAAAAAAAAAAAAAAAAAAAAAAAACAAACCGAAAACCAACCAACACAACAAACTAACAAAAAACCTAAAAACCTGCCTCCAAGAACAAGATGAATAATCTGCCAAATGAGCGGCTCTGTATTTTACATCAAAGCACAAAATAACTAGAAATCGCAGGGATCTGACTCATGAGCAGAAATAGAGTGCTGGGGCTGGCTTGAGCCGTCTCTACCACCAGCTGCCTGCCCCCACCGCTGGAGAATGRGTGGCTCAGATGCTGCTTCTTAAGCAATTCAGCCACAAAAGGCTGCAGCTAAGCGTTTTAAGGGGGACATGTCAGCGCTAGTTTATAGCCTCACTGCTCGAGATAAMCCTCGAAACGGTCCCGAGTTGCCACAATGCCTTTTCAGCTGTTGAGGGAGGAGGAAGAGGACGGACACCTCGCCAGGCATCCCGGTGGAAGTTGCACCAGGCTCAAAGCAGCCTGTCCCAGCTGAGCAGCGCTCCGCTGCCACAGCGAGGAGTTGACAGAAATCACCCCCCCCCCCAACCCCCTTATCAGAAAAGCAGCCTTTTTGAATCGGGCATTTTTTAAGCCGTGACCTATTTAAACGTCCTGCCCCATCGCCGGCCAGCAGAGCAGTTCTGCAACAAATCCCGCAGCACGCTGCTGCCGCGGCGTTTCCCCAGCTGCTCTCTGTGACAAGTTCCTCGACTCAAATAGCAGCCCCTAATCCCGGCGTAAAGCTCCAGCCCGGCTCCTCCAGATAAGCGCACATTGTTTCACCTGGTCTTCGGCGAAAATGAGACTGTGGCAAGCGCCTTATCGCTGCTATTTTCTCTACCTCTCCCCAGCTCCTCCTCCCACCCGTAACTTTCGAACGTGTTTATCATGTAGAAAGAGAAAGACAGCTCAGAAAATCAGACTCCTACAAGCGCAGGGGGAAGGAGGAAGGCTGTTTGGATATGTGCAGCCATCCCCGCGGAGGGTACAGTTACACGGCAGCTCTCATTTGGAGTTGCCGTAGCAATGCCTGCCCTGCCTGCATCATCCTGTCCTCCCCACCTTCTGTCAGYAGAAAACAAAGGACGGACACGCGAAAAGCCAAAAGCCACTACCTGGGGCTGACTCGGCTGAAAACCAGCCCTGCCTAAAAATGATTCATTTTGGCTCATTRTGCAAAGGTTCGCTGTATACACCTCGAGCCACGGGAGGGCAAAGGAGGCGCCAGGATTTTGCAGGACGCGGGGGGAGAAGATGCAGATCTGCTGCCCTGTTGATTCTGGGACAGCGGAATTCCTGCAGGGTGGATTCTTATCGGGGTAACAGCGGTGCAGAGAAGCTGCCTCCACAAGGGGAAGGGCATCCAGCTCCCCTCTCAGTTCCATCAGGTTACTCGCCACCCTGGGCTCCCTGCCTGAGCTTTGGCTGATGCCAAAGTATTGGCCCACGGCTCGTCCGGGAAGTGCAGCAAGGTAGGCGCTCTTGTGCTGGCAGCTGCACTTKTCTTAACTTAAAACTACAGCAAAAATCGCGACTCGAGGGTTGGGGACATGATGTACACGTCTGGAAAAAGATGCTGCGAGTTCACTCAGCGCTATTTTGACACTGAATTATGCAATATTCCGCCTTGCTACATCAAAACTCCTGTTAGGGACCTTAATTTTGTTTYACTAACCATTATTCAAAGAACACACTGGCTGAAAATATCTCCAGAAAGTCTAGTGATGTGGGGGACGAYGCCCAGCCTCTGAAGTCATGAATTCCTACTGATTCTCCCCGTGTAAACCAGCATCGTTAAGGGGTGAGATCTGCAGTCCTGGGGTCGTCTTACACCCATTCTGCACCACTCATGCGTTGCCTGCTGCAGTGTTATCGAAAATTCCACACTGTTATTGATGCACCATGGTGCATTCAGTGGTTGGTAATCGGCTTTAATCAAGAGTTTTCTTTAAAAAGGTAATTTTGAATGCCGTGTGATATGTGGARTCACACACACACATATTGCATCGCAACTGATACTATTGCACAAGAAAGGTTCTGGCCACGATGCCTCTTTTTCAACTCTTCAAACAAACAAACAAAAAAAAATGAAAAAAAAAAAAGAGAACTGATGAAAGATCAGGGAGTTTTGGGGAACTTTAAAAGGCACTGGCTACTGAACTGCCTTTGCGCTCCCGGGTGCGCTGCGGGAAGAAGCATCAGGTGTGCTTCCCCAGCCTCCACGCGTGCAGCCGAGCAGCACGGTCAGGCGGGATGCCCGCCCGGCGCAAAACCCAAGGATGCAGAATATTTGAGAGCGGTTTGGCCGCTGGCAAYCAGCTGTGGGAGCCGCAGGAATCARGATGCAGGAATTTGGGTCTTTGTTTCAGGAACATTCCTTGGAAAGTGCCGCGAGACGGTCCGAAATCCCTCCTCTTTTCTCCGCTCGGCGCAGGGGGCAGCCCAGAGGACCCGACGGCACCGTCCCTGCTGGCTCCGGGGGCCGAGGGCTCCCGGCGCTCGCTGGGGGTCCCATCCCTTCCTGACCCTGTCATTGCAAGGCACCGTCCCGACTCCGTGTCCCCCGTGCATCCAGCGGCTCGGGGCGGTGGGCGACAGCGGCAGCTGCAGCGCATCGCAAGCTGGGCGGGATTTTTTCTTATTTCTTCCCACCTTTTCCTCATCTGCGCGCCGCGCACTGCCCGCGCTCCTCACGGGAGCGCCGGCTCTTTAACTTTGCACGGTAAAAGGGGCGAACAGAGGACTAGCCGGGACGGGAGGGAAGGCGGGAGGTGGCCGCGGCTCGGGGGTCTGCAGCCAGAGCGCCCGGCACCTGCCCCCGCCAGCGGCGCGGCGCCCCCGGACTTACTTTCTGGGGGTCGGCGTAGGTGCCGAGCCCCAAGAGCGGGATGCTGTTSCCGTCGCTGAGCGGGATGCGGTGGCTCTCGGCGGTGAGGTTCATCGTGCCGGCAGGTACCGGGGGCTGACTCCGCAGGGGGCGGGAGCCGCCGCTTCGCAGCCAAGCGCGGCCCCTGCGCGCCGGCACCCACCGACGKCCGGACGGACGGAGCGCACCGGCGGCGGCTCCGCGGGGACCGAGCGACGGAACTGCCC